TTGTCATATGAAACATTAAATTTAATATTCAACATGAAATACACAATGCTAAATCTAGTATCAGGCATCACTTAGATAGTAGGGAGAGAACTACTCCAATATTTGAGATGCCTAAATTACTTTTGGGTTTGGTCTCAAAGATATATTAAACTGAAAAATCGAAGGCCTAGAGGGATTAAAAAATAAATTTTGAAAATAGAGCAATAAAGAATGATTTAATTCTAGCTAACTATAGGTTTTAAAGGCTTCCTGTATGTAACAATGTGAAAATGAAATGTAAAGGAAAAAAAGCCCACATATGATTTCTTTTCCACTCAAATCTTGTTTACTAGATAATGGAATTCTGGTACACTCCCCCTCCAGCTCCTCTTCCCACCCCAACCCTAACCCCTCAGGGTTTTCTTCCAGCATCAGCCTCCTTACTCAAAAATTTGAAGAAAAACACTATCCTGGGGGTTGTGTTAGGGACTGGATGAGATTATAAAAGCAAGGCATCCTGAATTAATGGCAGTGGGTTCAGGAGAAGGCCTCTTAGCTGATGACATGAGGCATGGCACTGGGCCAGTCCCAAAGAGGCATCTATATCTGAGACCTATACATTACACATCATGCACACTTTAAATGTTTCTTAAATAACCTTTTTATTTTAGGACAGCGTGAAATTTACAAAAATCATGAAGACACTACAGAGTCCCCCACGACTCTCTACCTAAATTTCCCTATTGTTACCACCACCTTACATCAGTGTGGTGTATTTGCTGTAAAATAAATCAATATTGACACACCATATTAAACAAAGTTCATACTCTGTTTGGATTTCCTTGGTTTTCCCCTAATGTCCTTTTCTATTCTAGGATCCCAGCAGGATACAAGATACATTTAGTGTTCAACTCTCCTTCAGCTCCTGTGGGCTCTAACAGTTTCTCCTTTGCTTTGTTTTTGATGATCTGAGCAGGTTTGGTAAGGTGTTTTGTGGAAACTCCTCCATTGGGATTTCTCACGGTTAGACAGTGTTTTTAGGAGCAAATCTATGAGACTAAACTGAGATAGTGTTTGCTAGGTTTCTCTGCTACAATTAATTCTTCCCTTCACAAACAGTACTGTTTGGAAGGAAGTTACCATGTACAGTCCCAGGTTAAAGAGTAGAGAGTTGTGCTGCCTTTTCTGCATGGGAGTATCTATATACATCATTTGGAATTCTCCTGCAGAAGAGATTTGTTTATTCAATAATTTATGTCAATTGGGACTCATAAATATTTGTTTTAAACTTTGGATTATAATCCAGCACTATCTTGTAGTTCACATTGTCCAACTTCGACCACTGGAAGTTCTTTCAGTTGTTCTTGCTTCCTTTTCACATACACATCATTGAAGATTTGTTTTTCAGCACTTTCTTTTATTCTTTGGCACTACAAGATGTTCCAGATGCACACTGTATATTTTCCACCCTAGTTCTACAATCAATCATTACTCCAAGGAACCCTGGTTCCTTTTAGTGGAAAAAAGTGTATTAGAAGCTAAGATCTGAGGTCTCCTTAAGGCACAGGGGTTAAGTCTCAGCACTATTAAGCTATGGCCAGCCACTGCAGCATGATTTCGATCCCCAGCCAGGGAGCTGACCCACATGGTGCAGCCGACCTCTCCTGTCTCACCTGCTGCTCCCCTCAGCAGTATATTTCAGTGTCTGTTCTGCTCCCCACTTTGTCTCTGGTGAATCCTCTCAACCTCTGCACCTCTAGCCTACATCCCAGTTCTTGTATGCATAAATAAATGAAATAAATCTTTGGGGAAAAAAAAAACTAAGATCTGGTTATGTGTGCATAATGCTACCAGGGTGTGGTTGCTTCTAGACCCTCTCACTGGGAGAGCAAGGATATATATGCATGCACATAATCTGACATCTGCAAAGGTTTCAAAATACATATTTCTATGCTCAACCATCCATATCTATACATATGAATTCATACTAATGTCTCCTACTCTACTCCAGTACCACATGGATCATTCTGACCTCCTCCAATTCTGACCACAAAGTGACAAATCTACTCCCAGGAATTAGCAATTCCCTAATTACAAATTACACTGAGCATCTTTTTCTTACTGTAACTTGCCATCTCTATGTCTCCTATAACGAGGGTCAGACCCTTTGTCTATTTTTAAATTATTTTTGAGTTGAGTTTTAAGAATTTTTTATATTTTGGATACATATCCCTTAGCAGTCACGCACTCAGCATATATTTTCTCAGTCAATGACCTGTCTATTCTAAACAGTTTTTAATTTTAATGAAGTTGAAGCATTTGATTTTTTCTTTCATAAATTGTTCTTTGAATTTGGTATTTAACAGTCAGCAACAAACTCATGGTCACCTCGATTTTCTCCCATATTTTCCTCTGTAATATTTATACTTTTCATTTTATACTTAGGCTTATGGTTCATTTTATTTTTTCATTATATAATCATGCCATCTATGAATAAAGACAGCATTATTCGTTTCTTTCTAATATGAACATTTATTTCTTTTTTGTTGTATTGTACTAGCTATGTTTCTAATATAAACACTTTAATATGCTCAAAATGCAAATATGCCATCTTTCTCTGATAAGGGGCCCACTGATAGGACTTATGTGTCAAATTTCTTACAACATACACTTTTTCTCTAAGATTTCCAGTGTGAATCCCTTTAAGTACCCCCAAAATGAGCATACTTACAAAACCATCTGGGTGTAGAATCTACTTTGATTTAAAGGAAAATTTTTTGCCTTTATTTCCAGTTGCCTTGCCCATACCTAATTTTGTGGTGATTTAAAAAGAAATATTTAGCCTTTATTGAATCTTAACTGAATTTTTATAAATAAAAATCTCTTTAGAATCAATTTTCATCAATTCACAATATTATTTAGTTAAATTACAGAATCACAGTAACAAGTAAGTCTGATTTAATTGAATTGTTGGGTACAAAAGGAAACTGACCAGATTATAGCAGCTCTAATTGTGCTCAGAAATATATCTCATGGCCTCAGACTCTCAGTGTTCCATAGAATGGAAGAGAATGTTTGACAGAGAAAATCAAAAGCACTTTTCTTTTGGCTGCCAAAGCAGTTAAATGGGTTAAAGGTAATTCATTACATTATTAAGTTAATTTTGGGACTATGAACAAAGGCAGCAATACTCGGAAGGTATGTGATCCACCTGTTTTAAAAACTAAACTCTCACACTAAACAAAGTGTTGTAATACATTGTCTTCATGACCATTTTATGGAAGTGTGACCATCTCTAAGCTTATGACTTTAACGGGAAAGAATGAGACTGGTTTAAATCCACCATAACACAAACTACCTGCGAAAGGGAACTGACAGTTTACAAGAATTATGCCAAGCACATTACAGAGAGATTTATATTAACCTAAGGAGGCTACAATGACTTATGGGAGAAGAAACATGCTTTACACTTCCTCATATTCCCCTCCGTGTTGGCTATGTAACGGGTTCCACTAGGCTGAACTACATTCCTTAGAATTTCATTATTTTAGGTTAGGTTAGGTGGGCCACAAGAGAGATTCTTGCAAGATTTGGAAGGCAGGAAACAGCCATTCCGTAGTTCACAATGAAGTTGGTGGTCCACTGCATTGACATGAAGCAGCTCTTGGGCCTGTGGTCATCCCACCTTTCCGAGGACCCCTCTTGATTCCTTGGCATGGTGTGTGCATGCTTACAACACAACCAAAGTCTGTGATACACAACCAAAGTCAGAGTTAACAAGAACAGATGGAGGTTTCAGTCCACCCTGTGGGACTGTAGCTCATGCTTGTCAGTTCTAGCCTGCTTGTGATCCTGACAGCCTATTCCCTGGACTTCAAGTTCCAGCAACAGAGGCAGAGACAACAGACACTGCTTAACCAGTCCTCAAACTGTATAAGGTCCCATCCTCATGATAAATCCATTTATGTATACAAATGAACACACATAGATAAATATCATTGATCTATACATGTGGATGTGTATACATCTATTTATAGACATGTTTATGTGTGTGTGTTTATATGTGTGTCTATGTATCTCTCTTTGTGTTTATTTCACTATCTGATTATCCACTTGTTTTGCTTCTCCAGTTGAACCTGGTTTTCATACACACACACTCCACCCCACCCCACAACATTCCTGAACTCTCTCCCTCAGCCCCGTAGCTGAGAGACGGGAATGCTACTTTCAATAAACTGTGTGAGGAGAGAAGAGAGAAGTGCAAGGATGAATGAATCTGAGATAGAGTCAAGTTTTTAGGGAAATTTCTATCATCACCTAAATCTCATAAAAGAAGTCAAAGTCTGTGTAAGACAGATAATTCAAGAAAAATGAGAAGTCATAATTGAATAACCTGGACCTCTTTTGAAAAAAGCTTGTCAGTGATTTTAAATAGTTATCACCTGGATTCTATGTATAATAATATTAAATATGATTACCAAAGAGCTATCCAGGGTCCTGTGAGGCCTTTGCTAGCAATCTGTTCTGACCCAAAGGACTGTATTCCTTTATCCTTGTGAAATTACTATAGAATCATAGAATTGTAGGACTGAGCATAATTTTAAAGTTCATATACTATTTGCAGGAGAGAACACTGAGATTCATTTACAGGGAAGAACTTTGAGGTTTAGTGATACTGAGTCTTCCTCAGTCACACAGCTAGTCAACAAAAAGAGTTCATTTTTCAAGGTAGGTTTCTTGTCCTCCAATGCAGAGTTCTCAGCACAATACTGTTTATGTGGCTGACTCATGTTTCCCCCTGATCGTGAACTCCTGACATAAGTCTTCTGGCTGAAGCATGCCTTGTATCACTATCAAAAGTGCTAAGTTTATAAAGTCTTATGTTTATATTTACAAGTTCTCAAACTTGAAACACTTTTTATGAGAGACGGGCTTTGTGGATTGCCATCCCTTACTGGTTTACAGAATTCTCTGATGACTGAGAATTCTGAAGTCATCAGACACTGTCTACACCAGTTGTTTCAAAACATTCCATTCCCAGTCTGCCATTGTAAGGGGATGAGAAGTGGTTCAATTCTGACATCCACATTCTAAGGTAAGTGTTTCCTTTGGCTACTCTGAGAGATCCAAAAGTTGCCATCTCATTTCCTGGATGTTCTGTGGTCACCATCTCAGTTATAAAGTAATTTATGACCATGTGTGCTACTGGAGGAATAGATTGCCATCTAAAACTCCTGTCACTCCTTCTGAACCCCATAAAACTCTGATGCAGGTTTTTAAAGGACACTTTCATTTCCCTTCCTATTTTAAACCAACATGTCCCATTCATAATGATTCACAACTATCTTTAATAGTGAGTGTTTTGATAAAGGTGGCATATTTCACAAAATGTTTTATTATCCTGGGTCAGGACAGTATGTGGTTTCAAATAACAAAAGCTTAATAGGTAGGCTTTAAGTTTAACTGGCTTAAACTGACAGGCACTCGAGACAAGGAGTTCTTTTTTTTTTTTCCCCCCATACTCTTATTTATTTATTTATTTATTTTCAAATTAGTATCCCATTTGTTCCTTATTTTGTTTTTTTTATAAATTTTATTTTTATATTCCCCATACAATTGCAAGCCCCTTATTTTGACCCCAATCCCTCCCCTCCCTGCCCCTCACCCCCGATAGAGTGTCTCTGGTTCATAGTTGTTTGTTGATTTTGATTTTCGCTTTCTTATAGTTATTCATTTTCCTGGTCCCTTATTTAAGTTTTCTAGATTCCTGCTATGAGTGAGACCATCCGGTATTTTTCTTTTTCTCTCTGGCTTATTTCGCTGAGCATGATCCCTTCTAGCGCCATCCATGTTGCTGCAAATTGCATGTGTTTATCTTTTTTGAATGCTGAGTAATATTCCATGGTGTATATGTACCACATCTTCTTGATCCGACTGGACCGAGACAAGGAGTTCTGAGGCAGGCCGACTAGGGCTGACCAGAGGCTCGAAAAAGCAATAAGGGACCAAGTTTTTACCATCATTATTCTCTGCCATCCTCACGATGTGGCCCTCTGTCCATGCTTGCTGCCTCATGTCTACAGAGTGGCTGCCACACCTCTGGGCCCTAAGTCTATCATCCAGGTTAAAAAAAAAAAAATAGAAAAGGGACAAAGTGCCAAAGGGCAAAATTTTTTCTAGTGAAATTTATCCTTGTTTTAATTTTAAAAAGAACAAGGTTCCTGAGAGCAGCATTCAGTAAATTTCCATTCATATGTCATTGGCCATCCTTACATCTTAGAAGTCATCCTGAGCTAGAACTTCACAAAAAACCGAGAGGCTATAGATGTTCATAGTGACAGCCTGCCACTGATGTCTATATCAGTACTCTTTCACAAAAGTGTTTAAATTAACAATCATTCTGAAAAAGGCTTCAACTTCCTATCCCCGTCCAGTGTATTTTTTTCCACATTAAAAAGTTAAAACTCACCTACAATGTGCTTATTCTCAAAGACAACAGAGAAAATTAACAAGCACAATTCTGCACTGGAAAAATAGCCATATATCTAGGTGACACGGCAGTAAATTAAATGGGTTATCTGCTTCCCAATTACTACTGAGTAATAATAAATTCATTCATATGCCTTCCTCCTTTTTTTTCCTGCTGGGATTCTTAGTCTGTCCATATATTAAATATCCCATCAAGTTTTTAAGGTCACTCAGCCTGACCCTTTGAAACCGAAAGAACTATCTGGTAGCAACAAGCTCACCAATCGTGAAATCCTGAAACGTTATATATAGAGAATATGGGTAACCACATCTCATCCACTACACAAAGCGTTGCTGCTTTGGAGGAATAATGCCATCAGGACCCTTACATAATGCTCTGTCATTAAAAACCAGACTGTCCCCAGAGGAATATTTTCAGAAGCCCTTTAGATGCTGTTAAAATTTAGGCTCCCAGGTCCTACCTTAAACACCTGGCATCTATCTCCAGGCAGCAGCCGAAAAACCTGCATTTTTAGCAATCTTTCCAGGTGGTTGCATAGCGAAAATTGAGAACTACTTTCTTAGGTTAATATAGCAGACTCATGGACCGAGTGCACAGACTGGCTGAGTTCACAGTGAGATCAAATATGGACCTTCTTCTGAAGCCCAATGCTGGTGGAAGAACAATGATTTCAATTCTTTACAGGAACCCTTTGCCAACCACAGATCCAGGACAAGGGTAGTCAGCTGAATAATCAGGCTCTGCAGGTATAAGCATCCACTGATTAATGCACTTCAGGTTAAACATCTATCCTACGGGCCTTGTTAGGGTGCTGGTGTTAACTTGTTAACTCTACCAAAAGCTCAAAGACCCACAAAGGTCCAAAGCTTTTGTCATCCTGTCTGACCTACTGCTAACATCTGCCTTAACCCACTACTCCATTTAAACCTATTCTGCTCAGTCTTTTCTGCCTGTGTTCTGCTTAACCTCAATTATCTCAATTAATTCTTTCACCAGAGAAGTCTCCGAAATGTTCTTTGGTTTCCCCTGCTAACTGCCATAGAATTTATTTGTTTGTTTGTTTGTTTATTTGTTTGTTTATTTATTTATTTGAAGATTTATTTATTTATACAAGCACTGGGTACAGTCAGAAGCGCGGGAGGTTGAGAGAATTCACCAGAGCGGGGAGCAAAGCAGACCAGGCAGAAGGACCGAAGTACACTGCTGAGGGGAGCAGCGGGCGGCAGGAGAGGTCTGCGCGCCATGTGGGACCCTCGCCAGGCGGCCGGGTATCGAACTGGTGCTACAGAGGCTGCGGGCAGCTTCTCAGCCCAGCGCTCAACCACTGCACCACCGGGGAGGCCCGAATTTTTTTTTTTTTTGATATGTATTACAGATCTTCCTCCTCTCCTGCAATGAGGGCGATGCGGGCAGTCAGGTTCCTGGCCAAGTCCCCAGTGTAAGAGGCCACAGCACATTCCTTCCCATTATGCATCAGAGACTTTCAACAGTGTCAGCTATATTTCTTTATAGTTTTGAAATTTCTATGATTTACTAATACATCTGCTGTGCCTCCTGTTGGTTTTCAGCAAGAAGCTGAAGCATGTTCTGTGGCACAGAAATGAGTGCTATTCTGAGAAAGCATGTTGGAAATCTGAAGGGGGTTTCCTGTGCCATTTGAAGCTGAGAAAGGAGGATCCTGGCTTGGGTTTAATACCCAAGTACATCTTCCTCCACCTCCAAAGTTCACTAAAATAAAGTTGGGATAAATAAAGTGCTTACATCCGGCTGCTTGCAGATATGAGAATATTTAACTTTCAACGACTTTGAAGTATGTATTAAAGCAAAATACATTTTATCATATGCATTCAAATATATGTATTATCTGACGATAAAAAGGAAGGCTAGCAGATTCAGTTGGTGAGAAACCTAGCGGCTTTGAGATTTAGAAAATTAAAAGCCAGGTGTCTGAACTTCACCATTTAAAGGATATCTAAGTGTTCAAAGAGGGTCTCGTGAGAGTATTGCTAAGCCACAAAAGGTCTCATATTTCAGAGAGGACTGAGTGACAAAGGTGAAAATCCTAAATTAGGCTGGTTAAAATCCAGAGTAGTGTAAGGGCCAGGTAAAACTGAAATTAAGTTTCTTGCTTGGATTAGAGAATTATGGTATATAGAGAAGAGGAAGCAGCCAGGGCAACCTGGGTCCCTAGAAAAAGTGCTTAGTAGGAGGGTTTGTTGTAAAACACATTTAGCAGATTCAGTCAGAGCTGAGAGTGTATCTGAAGGGGTAGTAGGGAGCAGATGTGAGTACAAATTCATGGTTTTTGCTTCTTTTATAGCATACCCTTTAGCTTATCTCTGATATATCTGGAGTTGAGAGCCTTAAACTACATTTTTATACCATCAATAAAATCCACGAACTATTAAATTTGTTCCATCACCAAAGGAACAACCAGATTTCACACCGATACTGGCTCATCTCTCCCCCATGATTCACATTTTACCTGGAAACCTCTAGCAACCCAGAATTAGTAAAAATCCTCAATTTTTTCACTAATGACATTCAAAGATGATAGTTTTTACTCCCTGCATGCACACATAAAATACTTTCACTGCAGGCATTTCACTTAATAACAACTTGGATACAGTTGCTTTGGTTCTACATTTTCCCACTATAAATTCAAAAATGAAACAAGTAATCATTAAAACCAAATATTATGGAAAGAATTTGTTTAATTATTGGGTCACATTTTTTCACCCTGTCAAATTTGGTCTACTACCTTAAATGTTGTACAACATGTATGCTTCGTATACCCTAATATTCTTTTCATTAAGAACACAGAAGAGGGCCTCCCTGGTGGCGCAAGGAGTTAAGCACAGCACTGTGAAGCGATCCATAGCCTCTGCAGCATGAGCTCAATCCCCTGGCCCACCAGGGAGCTACCCACATGGCATGGCAGACCTCTCCTGACTCGCCCGCTGCTCCCCTCAGAAGTGTATTTCAGCCAGTCTGCCTGTTCTGTTTTCCACTCTGTCTCTGGTGAATCCTCTCACCTCTCCCCCTTCAGCACCTCTCTGGCCTATACCCCAGTTCTTATATGCATAAATAAATAAATCTTAAAAAAAATAGAACACAGAAGAAAGTTTTTTTCCTGGATGAAAATGTGAGTATCTTCTCCGATGGCCTAAATAGGGAAGAAGGGCATAAACAGAGGATATTTTATCAAATGGAAGGGATCATGTGAGCTATGTACCACTTCAGCTTTAACTGTGTGCAGGTAATACACTTCAACTGAATGGAAATCTGTTCCTTTATCTGCTGGAAATTTGCTTGTTTAGTATAAGAAGAGGCACCATTCTCTACAGAATCACTCTTGGCTCCTGAGGTCAGACTATGTTTACTTATATAAGTTGCATCAAATGTACTTTTTTTTTTTATATTACATCTATTTACAAATAAGGAGGGAGAATTTGGGCATATCTCATTGTTACAAAAGTTAGAGTGCTTAGAGGTAGGAAACATGATGAAAACCATATCAGGTCTTGAAATTAAAAAATTCTCAACCAGGAAATAATGACATTAATCAGCAATAAAAAAATTCTAGGGGCTCCCCGGTGGCGCAG